AATAGATGACACTGTCCAGATCGAAGGATTATATGTAGACGGACAAAGTATCAAAAGTTGATTTGCGTCAGGAAATCTACCTAAAAAGGTTTAGTCGACAAGCTCGTGCCCCTCCAGCCAAGGTAACCTTGGAGTCCCGTGACTCATGCTGAATCATCCGACCTGAGGCCCGCTCAGGCCCCCTCTAAGGCCACATGGGTCACCTGATTGGTCCAGTCTCGTCTTATCGACCATCCCCGGCGTCATCGGCCTTTGGGACCTGCTTCTCCTCATCTCACAAGCCAAGGCATCACCGTCTTGCTTCATCGAATTCTTCTGCTTCATTTCAATTATCATTATCTTGTGGTATTTTCAAAGTGTAGGTGATCATCTTCCTTTGACTTACGTATTTTTGAGAGCCATTACCGCAAACGGTTACTGATAAGAGGTGCCTGACTCCAGACCCCAAGGTACCCGCTTCTCGTCAACAACTCATCATTAACATCACTATTGCTGTGAAACCCAAACACAATTTGCAATGAGAGTCCTGTCTGCCACTCTCTGGGTGGGAGCTGCTTCGGCCGCTGCCCCGTCCTTCCAGCAGGTCCTGGGAGATCACAGGGAGAATGCGGAGAACCTAGTCCAGAAGGGTGCGGACGCATTCAAGCCCCTGCAGCACCTCCAGGACGAGTTCAAGTCTCTCTCTGGTGAGGCTCGCCAGCTCTGGGAGGAAGTCTCTAACTACTTCCCGGAATCCATGGAGAGCGCTCCCTTGCTTTCCCTGCCCAAGAAGCACACCCGCCGCCCTGACTCACACTGGGATTATCATGTCAGTGGCGCCGATGTCCAAGACGTCTGGGTCACTGGTGCTGAAGGCACCAAGGAGCGTGAGGTTGACGGTAGGCTGGAGGCATACAACCTCCGCGCCAAGAAGGTTGACCCCAGCGCCCTCGGCATCGATCCCGGTGTGAAGCAGTACAGTGGTTACCTGGATGACAACGAGAACGACAAGCACCTGTTCTACTGTGAGTTTGGAAATTGTCCTCCCATTATCTAGGGTCTATCTAACTTTCAAAAGGGTTCTTCGAGTCTCGAAATGACCCCAAGAACGATCCCGTTGTCCTGTGGCTGAACGGCGGTCCCGGCTGCTCGTCCCTCACCGGACTTTTCCTGGAACTTGGACCTAGCTCCATCGGTGCCAATATCAAGCCTATTTACAATGATTTCTCGTGGAATAACAATGCCTCTGTGATCTTCCTGGACCAGCCCATCAATGTCGGCTACTCCTACAGTGGGTCCTCCGTCAGCGACACTGTTGCTGCTGGCAAGGACGTCTATGCTCTCCTCACATTGTTCTTCAAGCAATTCCCCCAGTACGCTACCCAGGACTTCCACATTGCTGGCGAGTCTTACGCTGGCCACTACATCCCTGTCATGGCTTCGGAGATTCTCTCCCACAAGAAGCGCAACATCAACCTCAAGTCTGTTCTCATTGGTAACGGTCTCACCGATGGTCTTACTCAGTACGAGTACTACCGCCCCATGGCCTGCGGTGAGGGTGGCTACCCCGCTGTTCTGGATGAGAGCACCTGCCAGTCCATGGACAACTCCCTGGCCCGCTGCCAAAGCATGATTCAGTCCTGCTACAACAGCGAGAGCCCCTGGGTTTGCGTCCCGGCCTCGATCTACTGCAACAACGCTATGCTTGGCCCCTACCAGCGCACCGGCCAGAACGTCTACGATGTTCGCGGCAAGTGCGAGGACGAGAGCAACCTATGCTACAAGGGCATGGGCTACGTCAGCGAGTACCTCAGCCAGGAGAGCGTTCGCGAGGCTGTCGGTGCCGAGGTTGATGGCTACGACTCCTGCAACTTCGATATCAACCGTAACTTCCTCTTCAATGGCGATTGGTTCAAGCCTTACCACCGCCTCGTGCCCGGTCTCCTTGAGCAGATCCCCATCCTCATCTACGCCGGTGATGCTGACTTCATCTGCAACTGGCTTGGCAACAAGGCTTGGTCTGAGGCTCTTGAGTGGCCTGGCCAGAAGGAGTTCGCTTCCGCCGAGCTTGAGGATCTCAAGATTGTGCAGAACGAGCACGTTGGCAAGAAGATCGGTCAGATCAAGTCCCACGGCAACTTCACCTTTATGCGTATCTTCGGCGGTGGCCACATGGTTCCCATGGACCAGCCCGAGTCTAGCTTGGAGTTCTTCAACCGCTGGCTCGGCGGTGAGTGGTTCTAAACACTCGACCGCCTTACTCTATGATACGATGCGTTGATGAACTCATCATTACACTGCGTGTTACTGATCTTGTGACTGGTTATTTGCGTGCAATTTGACACCTCAATACTCTGGGAAATTAAGAAGGCCACATACTCGGTCATCTGTTTGCCTGCTGATGTTAGGTGATTTGGCTTTGGTTTATTATATACGACTAGGCAACTTTGAATTAAATCAATCTTGGATAGACATGAACATCGAGTAATAAGCAGTCATAAAGCGTAAAGGTATACTATAGTGTAGCTTGATGTAAGTACATTGGGTGTAGGTAGTGTATGTAGACATGCATCGATGAGTGCGGGTGTGTTGTGATAAGCATAGATAGTCGTAGATAAAGAGATATGAATACCCCAGACTTATTGATCGAGTGGCGTAGGCCTTATTCCACATTGACGGTCTAGGACATCTACCCCCACAGCAAGATATTCTCCGAAGCATACCGCGGAGCCTTGCAAGATATGATATTCTACCCTACGAGGGCCGACGATTCAGACGGGATCATCGAGTTGGCATCATGATCCACAACGGATGATCCCATCGAACCCAAGGCCAAGAGCAAAGTACATGAATCAAAGAGATCGGGTCATTTCATTGGTATGGTTCATTTTCAATTTTTTGAACTGGAACATGCCCAGCCCAGCGGGGAAAAGATCCCACGAGTGCTGCCCATAGAAACACACCGGAAATAACGGAATCCCTCCAAGAACCCCCGGCAAAAAAACGAACAGAATGATTTAGCCCTTCTTCTTGCTGACACCGACGGTGCGACCGCGGCGGCCAGTGGTCTTGGTGTGTTGACCACGGACGCGGAGGCCCCAGTAGTGACGCAGACCACGGTGGGAGCGGATCTTCTTGAGGCGCTCAAGATCCTCACGGAGCTTGGAGTCAAGACCGTTGGAGACAACCTGGGTGTCCTTGCCATCGGTGATGTCGCGCTGTCTGTTGAGGAACCACGAAGGGATCTTGTACTGAGTGGGGGTCTGGAGGATGGTCACGATACGCTCGAGCTCTTCGGTGGTGAGCTCACCAGCACTATAGAAAGTGTCTTGTCAGCTTTGCTGGTCTTGTAGAATTTTTTTGCGACTGTTGTGCGATATTCCCCGGCTCTTCCTAGTCCGTGTTGTCGATTCAGGTCCAGACTGCGCCATTTCTCTTTCAAGTGTTTCCTCCGATAAAAGATGCATGGGAATGATTGGGTATTCGATGGGGGTTGTGGCGAACGTACCGCTTGGTGAGGTCGACATCGGCCTTCTTGCAGACCAGGTTGGAGTAACGGCGACCGACACCCTTGATCTGGGTCAGCGCGTACATGATCTTCTGCTTGCCGTCAACATTGGTGTTGAGCAGACGCAAGATGAACTGGAAGTTCGTCTTCTCGCCGGTCACGAGCGCTGTTATCGAGAAATCCACATGTTAGCCAACATTCAATTTCGAGAACCGTCGTCTCTGCCACCGTTTCCAGCTCTTTTTCTTTTGGCAAATTCGTGGTTGTGTATCATATAATGGTCTCAGATTGAAAGGAGGGGTCGTCACGTACACATGATGGGCGATGGGCGAGGATCGCGATGGGTTGTCGACAGAGGGATGGAGAGAGGAAGTCCAACTGAGTGACTTTGCTTGTGGGATCGGGTAATTGGGGCGCTAACCTTATTCGGACGAGGGCTCGCTTGTTATGAGCTAGTCCCAAAGCGGCTAGTCCATCAATCAGATCATGTGAAATCACATGACTGTTAATCTCACTGTTAGATTCTGGTAATTTGCTGTGTTATTTACGCGTATCTTACCTGAAGCCCTGACAGACAGACGGCTTTGTTTTCCTCGACATGAAAATGTGACGAACCCAATTCTTGGAGATATCAGCCACTATCAAAGAGTCTTTGTGCTTCGAGTAATCTTTCAAGTGGTCCATATAGTGGTTTTCTCTGTGACACTGTTATTTCTTTGATGCATATATTTTTATCCTTTATATTTTCTAGTATTTGAGGGACTCGATGACATCTCCAAGTCTATTGGCACCCGCAGGCCTATACAACCTTTGATTTATATGTTTTTTTTACTCAAGGATTTCTGCCAAGATGCTAATTACTTCTGCACTTTGATGGTCATTTCTAGAATTGGGTTAGGTTTACTTAGGGCCAAGCAAGATGGTAACATGGCAACAACATATCGTACCTGCACTAGACTAGGGACCTCGATCTATGTAACCTTCGACTCGATTCAAAGGTATTCGGTGATATTCATGTTCTTTGTGTTGTGAAAGAAATGCCTGTCTATTTTTACTCGGTTCTTTGATATCGTCTGGATTTGACCCCAACCAAGAATTTATAAGCTAATGTGACAAATATAGAACTCCCCCATGCTCATGCTGCCCTGACCCTAATCTTGTTTGGATTGCTGAACCTTTCCTGGAATCCAAATGCTTTGTTCATCAAAAAACAAGATGTTACCATGGGTATTGGATTCGGGGCGCTCGGGATGTTCTTTCATCTCGTGCTTACTATCTACAATATGCCACTCTATTTCTTTCGGTTGGTAAATATGGCATTCAAGCTGGCATGTTGGACAATGGATGTTCCTCGTTGTCCATTAAAGCGCTTGGTCCGCACCGTTTCGCCCTTTGCTGATAGTTTTCAAACTCCTCGAACCAATATAGGACACCCCAATATCATAATATTGCCCTTGATTGAGCCCATTGTGGCAGTTTTCTGACCTTGATCCCTTCACTGCCAGTTCTCAAGATGGGTAAACCTTTCTCTCCGCTGGAGATTCCTCCACTTTCCGATTTCCCAGCGAAGCCGGAGGATCTCGACCATCCGCCGCCGCCCTTGCCTCTTTTCGATTTCACCCGTCTTCCTAATCCACCTGACGACTGGTCGCATTTCAATCTCAAGTTCAAAACGATTGCAGGGGGTCATAGTCGTGCCTTGAGGCTCCCGCAGGTGCAAGTGTTGTTGAAGCATTACTTCTGGGGAATCCATTATGAAGAATCGCACCTCACCTCCCAGACATTGAGAAAGCAGCCAACTCTCAAGTCCCAGCAGATGATTCTGTTCAAGCTCATCTACTACATGCAAGAACGCCATCGTCCGAAGACTTGGTTCGAAATGCTCAATGTTAACCGGGATAGTGGGCCACGACTCTTGAAATACGATCTCGATCCGCGCCCAAAGCCACTCAGTAGGTGGTACAATACTGCTCCGGATGTGAGCACACATATCATGAATGCGTATATACGCCCTTTGGACGCGCCACCAGACATGCCCGACTACCTTGTTCAACAATATATGTACTCAGTTGACAGCTTGTATACACCACCCCCACCTCCACCACCTCCGGCGCCAACAGTCCAGGTGCAGGAAGAAGAAATCCTTCGCATGCATCTCCTACAACACCTGAACCCAGGAGTTGAATACACACCGGCCTTCTCATTGACCGATCCGCCGGGTACGAAGTTACCGGGCCCTGCACCAGGCCAAAAACGGGATGCAGATGAAAATAAGGAATCGCGTAGCAAGCGCGCGAGACAAATTTCACCCGGTGCTCCTGCTTACCGAGGTCGCCCTCGTCCTCCTACCCCGCCGTTTCAAGAACCCGTCTTTGCGGCTGAGGATATCACAACTTTCACCTGGACGCCTAGTCTGGCACCTTCCTCTAAAGTGGCACCGATGGGAGTGCACCGACTTAGCCCCATTATTCCGAAACCCCCACGCCCGGCTGACCTTCGAAAAACTACAGACGCCATAGAACGAGCTATAATGCAGATCGTGTATGCTGACTTGGACCGTGATCCCAGCATACCGTCTACTGAAAAGCCCGTTTGCCTCCGAACCGCCCAGTCCTACAGGGATCTGCTCTCGATGAAACTTGGAGCCTTCCCCACCACGTCGACAGTAAAGTTGTCGCCATTGACCTTCGATTGGGATCCAAATGGCACTTCATTCCCGGTCCGGGGCCGCGGCCCTATCTGGGATTCCATGTCTTGTGCCACGGATGCTGTTATTGTAGCGGCGATGCTACTCGATGCTGGTTGTACCAAGATAGATCGCGCACACAATCGGGCAGCTGAGTTCAAAACTCTTGAAAAGGCATTCATCGAAGCGACAATGGCGAGCTGGGAGACTTTCGATGATAAGACTTCTATATTTGTGCGTGACGAGTGGCTCCGGATGTTTATCGATAGCTCAAGTGGCCTGAAGATGGGAGAACCGATTCCTCCTTGGGCAGTATGGTCAGTGGCCACAAGAAGCTTCGCTCAATTCCGTTATCACCACGTTGAACGAGTGACCCCTTGCCACTGTCAGTTCGCCGTTCCGTTCTACAACTCTCATCAAGGGTCCTGCATTTTACCTGGCTACCTACAGGGTGATGAAAAAGGAGTAGACCTGCAAACGTTGATCGAGCGATGTTTCTACCCACGAAAGTCTTTCAAATGTGATAAGTGTGGTGATCCAATGGGAGTTACTGGAGAACGAAAGATTGGTCAACTCCCGCTGCGTCTGGTGATAACATGTGATCTCAAGACACGAATTAAAAATCACACGGAGAATCTCAAGTTCAATTACATAGACTATGCAGACAAGCAGCAGGTCGCACACTATCGTTGGCTTGGCGGCATCTATAACAACGAATCTCATGCTCGTTTATTCTGGACCGATACGAAACGAGGCGAGAAAGATGATGGGAATGTCATGATGTACGATAGCCAAGTCAATTCTGGGGTCATTATTGGTGGAATTCCAGCATTTCAACCGGATGAAAAAGTACCCCCTGAATGGTTTCACCGTAATGCTATTCCGCTCATTTTCTATGAGCGCATCATGAATCCCACTCCCGACCTTTTGGCAAAGGCCAACAACGCGATGCTTGAGCTGGGCAATTACGTGAGCGAGGACATGAACGTCCTTGAAGAACACATCCCTTGGGAACGATCAACTCCACCACGACAGCCGGATCCATGGCCTCGTGTACTTTCACACAACGGCGAACGTTTCACCAGTTTCAACCCCTGCTGGGCAACAACGAACCCACCCCCCAAACCAACCATTGCGCCGCCTGCTGTGCCAGATCCGCCAAGTTTCATTGATCCAGCGCTGTTGGATCCATTAGTCGTTGACCAATCACTCCTTGATCCATCGATTTTCTCCAACACCACACCTCCGGAATTCGACTTGTCCTCAATATTTCCAGAGGCAGGGCTTGATAACCCATTAAGCACTGAACAAGAGGAACCTGAGGATTACAACAATAACCATATATTCCAGTCAATGCTGCAGAGTCCGCGCTGGCTCGGTCAGCATCCTGAGATGTGGCCTTCAGGTCTACCTGGTGAGGAAGGAGCTTTGGATTTCCCACAGCTGTTTACATCTCCCGACTCGCCGCAATCGCCCCAACTGGGCAATTGCAGAGGCACTGGATGGGGAGATGCTACCATGCTAGATGCAGAGGAGACCATGTCTGGGATTCTAAGTCGACACTTTGACAGTACGCACGGTAATTTGCTCAAAAAGTCCGCGATAGCCAACTATGCTATGGCGAAACAGATTTTGGATCCGATACAGAAGCAGGCCCTACGTTCAGAGAAGACACATGGGTTTAACCCAAGAAAGAGATATAGTGATGCAGAGTCGGAGGAGTCGGGAGAGGGAAACGAGGAAGTCGGCCGAAAGCAGATAGAGAGGCAGAGGAAACTGGACCAAGATCGAAAGATGAGAGAGGAATGGAAAAAACAACAGCTTGAGCGCAAGAGAGAAGAACGGAAAAAGCAAAAGGAGCTCGAACTAAAGAAGAGAGCGGAGCGGGTAAGACAAAAGGAGCTCGAGAAGAAGAGAGAACAGGAAGAGCGAGAGGAAAGTAACGAATTGCTAGAGAAAGACCCGAAATGGACGAGAGAGGCATACTATAAACAGCAAAGACAACGGGAAGAACATAAGAAGAAGTTAGAGGCGATGCCGAAGGTATCAAGAAGACAGGGGTTGAGGAATTCGAGGAAGAAAGACGACGATCCAACATGGCAGCCTGGTGATAGTGACGCAGAAGTCGATGAAGCCGATGAAGCCGATGAAGCCGATGAAGCCGATGAAGCCGATCTGTCTTGATATATTTTGTTTAATTTCTATAATATACACCAATACTAGTCAACACAGCCATCTGCCAATCAGGAGGCTGTGATTTGATATACCCGAGGCCCGAGTTTGTATAATGATAGTACGGAGTATGTACATATTTAATACTATATAGTACTATACATATAGTATTAATATCTTTCTATAGCTGTAATTACTTCCTTTAATACATAATAACTAGTCTACTGCAGTATATTGTATGTTACATTGTACTAAGAGTGTGGCATTTCCCCGCAGTCTCTACCCCAGACTCCCCAGACTTTCCCCTTTTCCTCTTTTCTTCTTTTCTTCTTCCTTATAATCTTACTTCTACAATATACTAACATCCAGTTATAATCACATTCTATGATCTATGATCTATTTACATGTCCAAATCCTGCATTCTGCAGTCCCAGATCTACCAACGCAGTGGGGAATTAATCCAAAAACAAGCCAAAAAACAAAACAAAAAAGATGCCACTCTACAGACGCGCCCGGGGCGGGCCTGTAGCAGTGTTGCTCTTCTTCGGTGCTGAGACATACCCACCGAGAGTACCGTCAGTGTTAGTCACAGCACCCTGAGCATCACGTCGGATACCAAGTTCAAGCAACTTGGCAAACACCTTGGCGAAGTGATCAAAGAACAACTCCTTATCTTCGGAATACCGCTTAACCCAGGGGGCAAATGCCGGATCCGTCGAGAGCGCCATATCGGTCGGCAGCATCATCAAAGGCTCCTCATCCTCCTCGGCATCAGGATCCTCATACACAAACTGTGTGTTACCCGACGCCATCTTGCGAGGCTTCCAGTCAAGCTGGAGCAGCAATTTGAAGAAAGAGTTCGAGAATCGCGTGGGGTTGGTAACCCACGGGCCCTCAAATCCACTGCGGTCGCCATGGCACCGGCCCAGGTTGTGTCCGCCAGTCAGCGCTACGATCTCCTGGTCGTTGAATCCCATACGGTTGAAGATGAACCGCAGGTGGTCGGCGCCCTGGGCTCCGTCTGGCAGTCGTCCACGTGGTGGCAGCTTGCTGTCACCAATCAGATCTGTTCGTCCGCCTTGCCAGGGGATATCGGGTCCGCCCAGCTCCTTGATCGCCACTACGCCGGCCAGAGTCCAGAGATCCGAGTACGTGATCCAAGGGTGCTTCTCTTTAATCGGTTCTAGGAATGCCCGTCCATGCTGCAGACCGGCGTTGGCGGGATCGCCACCCTCGGCTTCGTACCGCATACCGGCCCCGTTGGAACCACCGGTGTCGGTTTCGGCGTCGTATGTGCCAGATGAGTGCCTGTTCGGAATCATTGTCAGTGACGTTGCATTGAACAGGGCTTATCACCGCCGGTGATCCGGGGCCCCGACCGGGAAACGATAAGGCTTCGAGAATCACATTTACTTACCATGCGAGTCGCACGAATACAGGTCCTGCGCTGCCATCATCATAGCCGGGCTTCTTCAGGATGTCGGCGATGTCCTTGCGGACGGCGTCATAGTTGCGAGTGCTCATTGTTGCTTTCGGCCGATAACAAGGTCCGGGGTAGATTTCTTGGGAAAAAATTAAACAAACTCAACGTCGAGATGGATCCTTGGAAGAGGGTTAAGTGAAAGGATTGAAGATCAGAAAGAGAAAAAGAAGAAGAGAAGAAAACAGAAAGGAAGCAGAAAAAGGGACCCCCAGACTTTCCACATGGGAGTCGGTGGATCCCGCGGGCCGAATCAGCCTGCGCCGATTGAAGATGCCGAGGTTGGACTTGGACGACATGTATCGTCTTATTCTGTGATTGTGGCGACTATTTCCGATGCAATTCTCAGTTCCGATGGTCTAGATTTCACTTTTGAAGTGATTCGCCCTGTAATAATCAGCTGAAACAAGCGCTGGACATGAAATCACATTCGCCATCAAATGCCGATTCAGACCTCGGAACTCAAATGCCGACTTGATACGATAATATGTATAAGCAAATCCGATGCTTTCTACTCTACTACTTGCAAGATAAAGTTGAATTGAGTATCATATTTGTCAAGAGTCAGATCTGGTTTGCCCTAAAAGTCAGGGCCAAACAAAGGAAATATTTCCGTGGAGGCTCAAAGAAAACAAAGGATCTGAGAAACATTTGATACACTGGGAGATATCAAAGATCTACCTTAATCGCAGCTTCCTCTTCGCCCTCCGCAATATCATTCTCTGCATCGATCTCCTCCCCCGCCTCAACCTCAAACTCCCCATCAGCATTCTCATTCGGGGCCTCATTCTTCTTCAAGCAAGCCCGCAGCAGATCCCGCTCACGTTGTAAACGTGCCACCTCTCCCCGCGCCTCTCGTAGCGAAATAGTCAACTTCCGCACCTTGGTCTGATACGTGCGACCCAGCCTATCCGCCTGTCCAGCCAATCGCGAATACCTCTTCCGGATCCACTTCCTCTCTTTGCGGAGTCCGTGTACCTGTCGATCAAGCAAGTGCCGATGCTTCACGTCCGTGTCGCGGATAGTCTGGATCACGTTGTCGATCACGCCTGTGTGTTGCGCTTGTAGTGTGCCTTCTTCAGAGTACTTTGCGATGCTTATGAATGTTGCGCAGATGTCGGCCGCGATTGATGCCATCAATTCGCCTTTCGTGGTGGAGGTTTGTTGCTCTAGGTTTTCGAGACGTAGAGCGCAGGATCCTGGTGTGTTTGGTACTTGGATCGGATCGTGTGGTGCCATCGCTGGTGTAGATGAGGTGTTCAAGGCGTGCAGGTTTTGGGATGACATGTTGAGTGCGCGGTCAGGCTTGTGTTGCGACGATGCTCTGGGCTTAGGTAGATTTTTAGACATGGAGAGGACAGCAAGAATGGAAGAAGAATGGAAGTTTCTAAGAATCTGCCAATGTAATTATAATCTGAGAAGAATTATGAAATCATGTAATGCATTATCTAAATTTCTTACAGCCCCAGTTTTCAGCTAACAAACATTGCCTTTGATCGGTTTCTTCTCTTTATCATTAATCAGTTTGCTGCATATATATGGTGCTTTGTTCTTTGAGGCAATCATTGATACATAGTCAAATCATATATTCCTACGTTTCATACATTATAGCGCAGACACAATCGCATCGCCCACTTCCTTAGTCCCAGCCTTACCCCCAAGGTCAGACGTCCGAATCCCTGAGTCCAACACTTTGCGCACCGCATCCTCCACACGTTGAGCCTCATTCTCCATGCTCAAAGAGTATCGGAACATAAGCGCGACGCAGAGAATCATTGCAACCGGGTTGGCGATATTTTGTCCCGCAATACTATAACAAAGTCAGAACAGCCTTCTTATCATTTTTCTAGCACTTACGTCGGAGCGGATCCATGCGTAGGCTCGTACAGCCCGTAAGGTCGTGTCTTCAGCGTCTTATCACCAGGCAGACCGTTGAGACTAGCACTCGGCAACACACCCAGCGTACCCACAATTGACCCAGCTTGGTCAGAGATCATGTCGCCGAAGGTATTGTCAGCCAGGATAACACCATTCAGGGATCGCGGGTTCGTTGCTAGAATCAATGACGCGGAGTCCGCCAGTTGGTGCACCAGTTTCACTTGCGGATACTCGGCTGCCATGGTCTTGTCTACTACCCGGCGCCAGAGCCGTGAAGAAGCTAGTACATTCGCCTTGTCTAGTGAGATCACAGGCCAAGGGGGGTTGTGTCGCAGTGCCACTTCGGCGGATAGACGGGTAACTCGTTGGATCTCGGCTTCGGAGTAGCCCCATTCATCCATCGCTGTAGTAGAAGAAGAAGTTAGATCGTTATTCAATTACAGCTAGATCTCAGCCCAGCTCACCATATGTTTCTTCTTCGACCTTGCGGCCAAAGTAGGCACCTCCGCAGTTCTCGCGAACAACAACGAAATCAACACCTTCAATAACCTCATGCTTGAACGGGCTGAACTCCTTGGCGATAGAGGCGCTGGGCGATGTAGAACAGCACGGACGTAGGTTTGCGTAGATATCCATAGCTTTGCGTATTTGGAGTAGTCCTCCCTCAGGTCCATCAAGACCACGACGTTGATTATCCCATTTCGGTCCTCCAACTGCGGCGAAGAGCACCGCGTCTGAGTCCAGAGCTGCCTGCTTGACTTCTTCAGTCACAGGCTTGCCATGAGCATCAATGCTGCAACCTCCAATCAACTCCTGGCGCAGTTCAAACTTGCGTTCGGATGTCTCGAAGACTTTTAGGACCTTGACGGCTTCGGCCATGATTTCCGGACCGATGCCGTCGCCGGGTAGGACGAGGATGTTGAAAGTTTTGGCCATGGTGCTGTGGTATTTGTTGGCACCAAGGAATATTTGGGGTAAATCAAATAACTTTTATACCACCGGCACCCAGGACTATATATGGCCTATATCGGAGCTCGGTCTTTCACCCGACTGATGCGGGGTTTAATGTGGTCGGGTTTTCGCCGATGACATAGCCTCCGATGTGCGGAGATCTATGACAGTGCTAAGGAGGCATGTACTTTAATTCCTGTGGGGCTGTTAGTTGTGGGGGTTGTCCATGTATGTACGGAGTAGGTAGTATACAAGATGAGGCTGAGGTATTCGTCACAGTAGTATTGCCATTGTCTCGTAGAATATCTCCTCTGGTACCAAGCGATGTGATATATGCCTTGTTTTCTGTTATAGGGGAAAATTGATGGAAATATTTCAATAATGAAGCAGATATGGTGGAATATAACCCAGCAGCAACAAATTGATAGACTGCCAACCTTAGAAGGCTATCAAAAGTTATGGCCTCAGGCACTATCTGGCTCTCCACATGCGATTGTCAGACTAGAAACATCCAGTCCATCGTGGAATATTTTGATGATTTTAAACCAAAATTCTTCCTATAGTAGCCTACTTTCTTTTGATCCATTCCTTCTTGGCAAATAATAATCTTACATCTTCAAGTCTCATTTCCAGCCCGACTAATCCGGTAATAGGGCTTAGGGCCGATCAGACCCCCTCCTGTTTGCACTGTTTGCATTGCGGGCATCATTTCTAAGCAGGACGATCTCCAAATCTCCGAAAGCGCAATACATTTTCCTGCGACCAACCCTCAAGATGTCGCGCGTCGAAGAACTTCCAGACGACTTTGATGAGGTGCTCAACCTCAACAATGCCCCTCCCGAGGTCGCCCAGCCTGGGTTTGACTTCTTCGCTCCTACAAATGAAATTCCCTTCCCGATCAACGAGGAGGGACTGAAGGCGCGCCAAACCGATCCCAATGCACCTGAACTTCCCCCGGCTATTGCGGCTGTTCAGTCGCATTCTTCAGAGGAGTTGATAGCAATGATGAATAAGACTCCTCTGTTCATGACCGATATTGAGAATGCGGGTGATGAGAGTATGTTAGATCATTCCTTAGATATGGTTGTTTGATATAACTAACATATATGGGTTTGTAGAGGGTGAAAACGTGCTCCTAGATGCCCTCCAGGCTCTGCAAAACGAAGGTACCAGGGGCGAGGTTGCGAGTAGCTTCAAGGGACAAGGCAATGAAGCCGTGCAGGAACTCAAGTGGATTGACGCTAAAGAGTTCTACTCAAAGGCTATTGCTGTCATCAACGCCAAGGTTGATAAGTGGGAGGCGCCCGAAGATCCCGTGGAAGAGGCGGCACTCTTGCGCAAGTTGGAGGAGGCATCTTACATCAACCGAGCATTGTGCAACTTGGAACTAGGTATGTCTTATTGTCCTCGATGTGCTCGACATTGGCTAATATATTTCCTCTGCAGGAAACTACCGTACTTGTACTCTCGACTGTGCTGCCGCCCTCAAGTTCAACCCCAAAAACGTCAAGGCCTTCTATCGTTCCTCCTTGGCACTTTTCAAGTTGGACAAAATCCCCGAGGCTGAAGATTCTGTAGCCCGAGGATTGGCAATTGACCCAGACAGTAAGGCCCTTCAAGAATCTTCCAAAAAGATTGCCGAGCGCAAGGCCCTTTTGGAGCGTGCTGCCGCGAGGAAGAGAGCCGAAGAAGAAACGGCGCGCAAAAAGAATATGGTCCTCAGCACAGCTCTGCGCGCCCGTATGATCAGAACCCGCAAAACCGATCAGCCTCCTGATATGGAAGATGCCAGGATCCGTCTCGTTCCTGATCCTCTCTCGCCAGAGAGCACAATCGAGTTCCCGGTTGTTTTCCTTTACCCCATGGAGGCTCAGTCAGACTTTATCAAGTCGTTCTCGGAGATGAACGCCATCGAGGACCATTTGGATTACATCTTCCCCCTTCCTTGGGATACCAAGAAGGAATACACCCTCGAAGGTGTTGAATGCTATATGCAGACTGTCACTGGTGGTTTGATCAAGGCTGGCAAGAAGCTGCCTTTATTGGAGATTCTTTCTGGTGGTAAGGTCGAGGTTGTGGATGAGATTGTCACCATCAATGTCGTGCCTCTCTCCAAGACCGGTAAATACATTGCGGAGATGAAGGCTCGGAAGACTGGCTGAGTGGTATCTCATTAATATGAAGCCGCTGCTCAACTTTCGACCGATCCCGTGCATTTCTATGGAATTTGCGCTCACAAAATCATCACACCGATGGGAGGGGTGCTGCCCGCTGCTCATCGACCTGCTTGTCTGGATTTGGCTGCAACAGTGGTACCTAGCCACCTGACGCTTTGGCTCTGGTCCTACCACAGAGCAACATGACGTTATAAAATCCGATACCCCTTAAAAGCGCCAGCTTTGTGTACATAGATGCATTTTCAGATTCTTATAGATATTATTGAGGCGTTTGCGCCTCTGGAAACAAAATGTCCAGTGGGCCATTGATCATAATCCAAAATATCCAAGGCTAAGTGAAAATCCTCCGGTATGGGCTCAGATTGATCGTAGCCGCTATTTGAATGAACTTGACCGTGCGATGTGGATCACAAACTGCATCACATATTGACGATAAACACGCAGTGTATCCGGGCACATTGTTCTTGTGGAAAAGCCTGGAAGGACTCTGGGATGTCGGATGAAGTCGGCCTGGGGGCAATAGCCGATAGTGTCAATCTCACGAGTGAAATACCCTAGATGTTTCCTGTCATAGATGCCACTACCGGGAAGATGGGTTCCAACCACATGTCTGTCGCAGCAGAGCTTTGGGCGTGCGACGGTTCGAGGGATTCCCCGGAGCTTCGAAGCACATTCACTGCACTTTGCAAGGATAGGCCGAGTAGGACTGGGGGGGGGGGGGAATCCTGTCAGAGATACATTGCATGATTGTATTAGTGTGTGCTCAGCGCTAACGTAGGTTCAATCCAAAAGAGGGGGATATCTAGCCTGAATGATGGGTAACTTGCTCATCTCCGGGGCCTAAATCATCAAATTGATTCTGATTCGGCAATCTTATACTTCCAAGAGCCAAGAGTCACTCAAGAGGAAGGAAAGAGTTGACGGGGTGAAGATTCCCCGGATTTGTGGAAGTGGAGAGAACACATTTACCCGGTCATCTTTTAGCCCTTTCTTCAGCTTCACTAGGGAACATGAAAAAAACGCCATTTTTTGCCGTGAAGAAAATACGGAATTTGCTCCGTCATCCCTCTATTCGATCCTTTACCCCGTCCACTGTGTGGCGTCCGGCCCCGTGTCTGTTTCCCTGGCTAAAGTAATGAAATTCATGCACAAATTCATACTCTTAGGCATCTAAGCAGCGACCAAGCCCATTCAACTATTCCAAAAGGCCGCGACAACTACGCCACGGGCTATCGGTCCGTCAAATGTGAAAACTACCGAGCAGGGTAGATGGTGAAAATGTCCCTGACGATTTGGCTGTTGCTGTTTACCTCCGACTATAAAAGGAGCTTGACCCTTTCAATTCCTCATTCCAGGTCTAGATTGTGATCAATTCAAATATTGACGTTGATTATCTCGTCATGGTTTACTATTCCACTATTGCACTGGCATTGGCCAGTGTTCTTCCTCAACTGTATGATTCATCTTTCAATTCCCATAGTTTAACAGTGATTAATATCCATTTCTTATAGGACCCAAGGAGCTGGCTTGCACAATGCTGCTGTTGCAAAGGGAAAACTATACTTCGGATCAGCTACCGATAACCCTGAGTTGACTGATGCGCCATACCTTGCTCAATTGAGCAACACAGATGACTTTGGTCAGATTACACCCGGCAATGCGCAGAAGGTTGGACAAGTCTTACCGTGCTATTGAGGCCCTCGCTAATTCTCGCTAGTGGGATTCAATTGAGCCCTCTCAGAATACCTTCTCCTATACCAAAGGAGATGTCGTTGCCAACCTTGCTGCTGCAAATGGTCAAAAGCTGCGATGCCATACTCTGGTTTGGCATAGCCAATTGCCCAACTGGGGTAAGCTTTATTATATCGTGTGTCTTTTAATGCGTGAATAGTGGGCTAATTGGTAAATAGTCTCAAGTGGCACATGGACCAACGCGACTCTGATTGCTGCCATGAAGAACCATATCACAAACGTGGTGACTCACTACAAAGGCAAATGTTATGCTTGGGATGTTGCCAACGAAGGTAAGCCATAAGCCATACATATGGTAATGAATTATATCATTATCAAGTAGCTAATCCCTAGTTTGCTAGCTCTCAACGAGGACGGCACCTATCGTAACAGCGTCTTCTACCAAACCATCGGCGAAGCATACCTTCCCATCGCCTTCGCAGCAGCTGCTGCCGCAGACCCAGACGCCAAGCTCTACTACAACGACTACAACATCGAATCACCCGGTGCCAAGTCAACCGGTGCCCAAAGAATCGTCAAGCTCGTGCAGCAGTACGGAGCCAAGATCGATGGTGTCGGTTTACAGGCACACTTTATTGTCGGCAGCACCCCTAGCCAGAGCGCTCAGACTAGCAACTTGGCTGCAATTACAGCCCTGGGAGTCGAGGTTGCCTACACCGAACTTGATATCCGCATGACTCTGCCATCAACTGCTGCTTTGCTTGCCAAGCAGTCGACCGATTATCAAAATACCGTTGCGGCGTGCATGGCAAATGCCAAGTGTGTCGGCATTACTATTTGGGACTACACTGATAAGTACTCTTGGGTTCCTAGCACATTCGCTGGTCAGGGTGATGCACTCCCTTGGGATGCAAACTTGGTGAAGAAGCCCGCCTATGCGGGTATCTTGGCTGGTCTGGGTGTAGCTCCTGTGACTACCACTACCGCTACCACTACATTTGTTACTACCACAACTACTGCCGGTAGTGGTGGTGCTACTGACATCCCTCTCTATGGTCAGTGTGGGGGCAATAACTGGACTGGAAGCACAAAGTGCGCAAGTGGAACCTGTAAAGT